ATTTAAATGACAGTAATAGAGTCAATAACAATGCCTTGCCTGATGCTAGTCTTTGTCTCAGAAGCCTGGAACTCTGGCTGTGCAAGTATCAGCTGTGCACGTATGGGGACGGGATCTCAAAAGGAAGAAAAACTAAACTCGTCAAGGTGGCGTCCGTAACCCAACACCACCTCACATGTTTTCTCTACAAATTAGTGTATGAATTATATCATGCAAAGACCTTTAAACCGCATCAATTACTAGCCTTCAGTACCTGTTGCAAAGTCCTCTCCCGGTTGACAGAGGACAGTCTGCCGCAACAAGGTAGGGTGGGGATCCTAATAACTAAACACGGTTCTCCTCTTGCACAGGGACAAAATTTGTATTGGCCTGGGTGAGTTTCACTTCTGCAGTCATCCCCATGGCACATGTGATTCATGTACTGTGCAACAGGGAGAGGCAGCCGGTACGATAAAGGTTGTCAGCAGGCCTTAAGTAGAGTCCAACCCAATGCTGTGAAATGTAATATGACCAGCAGGGAGAAGTGTGGAGTGGGAGGGAGGGGGAGAAAGGGTCTGTAGTGTTCTAATGGAAGATCCATTTAAATGCATAATTAGACATTTCAAACATGATTAGGTTGTCTTCTTAAATGTCATGGAAAGGATAATGTAGGCCCCTTTCATTATTATAATTTTTTTTTTGAGAAGTAGAGGAAACTTTATTCTCAGTGTTCCCTGCAGAGGAACTTGCAAATCTGAAGCATGCTCCCCCAAGAAATGAAGTACAATAAGGGAAAGAGAGAAGCAGAACACACTTTAGAGTGCTATCTTGTTAGTTCTGAGATGGGGATAAGGGGTGGGGGGAGCTGGAGTACCCTCCTGTGGGATAACGCTCTTTGTAAAAGCTAGTTAATAATAAACATGAACTGATAGGCCAGGTTATAATTAATATAACCCTCTATGTGTTTCTTTGGGACTGAACGGCTGCAGGACTGGGCGGGACAGAAACTTCTTTACATAAATGGTGCCCAAACATTTGGCAAGAATTTCCACATCAAGCCTGAAAAGGGTTATAAAAAGGATTCTAGACAGACAAAAACAGAGTCAATGGAAGCTTCTTGGTAATCATCTTTATCCTGGTAGGCTTTGTTTACTGGCAGTGATCAGTGACACTAGGCTTCCTGACGCAGAGATAGTGGCAAAAACCTTGCAGCTCTCTTAAGAGACCCTACCACCAAACACTTAAATCATGTTTATGAGCAGCCAGCATCAGGCTTCTAGGTGGTGTCATAGACCTAGAAACTCCACAGAGTTGTGGCAATAAATGTGGCTTCTGCTAGTACCTCCACCATGAAACTAGACTCTGAAAAACTAAAGAATAGGTTGCCAAAGCCTCAGTTTTAATCCTATCCATATCACTTAGCAGATTAAATAAATCAAAATAAGAGATACAGCAAAGACAGATTCTGATGGAAAAAAAATTCTAAACCATTTACAATGTGTTTGAAAATATACATAGGCTTGGGAGAGAAAAGAAAAAGGGTAGAGAAAGTCCTTCAAAAAAAGATATAGGGTAGTCAGGTGTGGTGGCACACAACTTTAACCCCAGTACTTAGGAGGCAGAGGCCAGCAGATCTCTATGAGTTCAAGGCCAGCCTGGTCTACAGAGTAAGTACCAGGACAGCCAAAGATACACGGAGAAACTCTGTCACAAAAAAAAAAAAAAAAAAAAAAAAAAAAAAATAAAAATAAAAGAAATAGAGTAAAGAAAACCTACACATAAAGATGGAAAATGCACAGAGAATCTGGATACTGTATGTTATTGTGTTGTCTCTGAATTGTTTGCCTGCTGAGGGAGGAACAACAGCTGCTAAAAGACATTTGATTATAAATGCTGCTAGATTAATCCAACATATATATTTTGACTTCAATTTAAGTCAAAAGATATCTTACTTTGAAAAACAGGTTTTGCTTTTCTTCCCACAGGAAATGGAAGGTTGTGGATTCATTCTGGGTTAAGAAAAATTAGGTTTGGTCAAGGGAGACACCCTGAAAAATCTCTGATAAGAGCAAATGGTCCAGATGATTCAATATTTCAGAAGACCTGTGTTGTTGTTTCCTCTGAGTTCTACATTCAAAACAGCTTCAAGACTGCTGGCTGAGATGATCCAGCCTCACAGAATACTCCAGTAAAGACTTGACCATAATCCTAAATTATCTTCGGATCCCCATAAGATTATCAGAGTCCCCAGTCAGCAGGAAGTAGCCTAGAAAACTACACCCATATTCCCAAAAATGGATTGTGGATGTTTGTCTTTGTTTTATGTGTTGATTATAAGTTGTTATGAATAATAGTCAGGAAAAAAGAATAAATAAAGGAGATTAGATTCAGAGTCTTGTTTTAAAAGGAAAAAGGGGGGAAATGCTGTGGGATAATGATCTTGTACACTTTAAAGGTTTGTTATTCATACTGGTTTAATAAAATGCTGATTTATCAGTAGGCAGGCAGTAAGTATAGGTGGGACAACAAGACTAGAAGAATTCTGAAAAGAGGAAAGGCAAGTCATTACCCAGAAACAGAGGAAACAAGATGATAATGCCTTACTGAGAAAAGGTACCAAACATCATGGCTAACCATAGACAGGAGGTGTCGTAACCATAGACAGGAGGTGTTGTGTGAACTCGTACTGAGGAAACATGAACAGGTGTCTTCTCACCAGTAGAGGCACAAGAAACAAAACAATTCCACCTGAGTTTGGTGACCCAGTGAGTTTTATTATGGTTACTTACAAGCAGCTATTCCCCTGCAGGAAGTGACTCAGCAGCTAATACCTGACTCAAGTCCTTGAGGAGTAGTAGAGCCTCCAAGATGGAGAGTTACTAAATATACCCACTTGTGCGAGTTCCCTGCAGGTAAGCACAGCTGCTAACAGCTCAAAAGGACAACTGGGCCATGTCATGCCCAGAGTACAGCATTCTACAACAGAGGGTCCCATAACCAGATTATGCCTCACAGACAAAACAGACAAAACAAAAACCTGGTGTTCGCAAATTGAACACCAATTGGTTGGCGTAAAGAACTAACCTACATGGTTCCTGAAATAAAGTATTAAAAAGGCCAAGGGAGTAGAGACTTAGTTCAACTGGTAGAGTGCCTGCTAGCATGCATGACATGCTGTAGGAAGTCTTACAGCCAGTGGTTATCAGACCACTGGAGCGTGGCCTCTTAAACTATAAGCTACATGCATCTGGCCTCTTTTCTGGCCTCTCTCTTCCGGTTGCGAGATTCGTTTTCTGATCTCTGTTCAAACAGAGGATTCTACTAAATAATTCTAATAAATAACCATCTATTTCTCAATCCTTAGCTACTGTAGGATTTCTTTTAAGCATCCATCCACAATGAAGCCCTGAGTTAGATGCCCAGTATTGCCTAAAACCATCATGGAGGAGCATGTCTATGAACCTAGGATTTGACAGGTGGATATATATGTGGATCAGAAACCTAAGTACCTGGCCTATATAGCAAGGCTGAGACCAAGCTAGATTCTATGAAACTCTGACTAAAACCAAACAAAACAACAGCAACAAAGCCAGAAAGGTCAACAGATCATAGACCTCAGACTTCCCTCTTTAGGTCTTCCACGGCTGTGGTGTAGGCCAGGCTGCCTCTTCCACATTTCCTAACAAAGAGACCGGGTTGTGCCTTTTTTCTGACCATGTCCTGGGTACATAGACGTGGCCACAGGGTCAGGTGTGGCACTTAAAAAAATTGATCCATCTCATTCCTGTTCCAGAGGACCTTAGTCTAGCGTTGATTCTCAACCTATGGGTTGAAACCCCTCTGGGGGTCAAATGACCCTTCCACAGGAGTCACCGAAGACCTTCAGAAAATACAGATATCTACAATATGGTTCATAGCAGTAGCAAAGCGACAGCTATAAAGCAGCAAGGGAAACAGTTTTACAGTTGAGGATCACCACAACATGAGGAAGGATGGCAGCCTTAGGAACCCCTAGGAAGGGACATTTTAGCTCCAGGGTGACCTCTCTGTGTGGCCCAGGCAGCCTATCTCTAGACCTCCTCTTTCCATTTGCTTTCTCTGAACAGACCTGTTTTCTTCCCGGATTTCAAATACTGTGGCCTTTGGGTCCCTCTTTTTTTAAAATTAAATAGCCTGTCTTCTACACTCCCTCTCGGTATGTTGCACAGGGACTCAAAATATGTTGGAAGACAGCCATGGGTTTTGGTTTTGGGGTTTCGGGTTCTTGTTTTTGTTTTTACCAAAGCACAATTTCCATACAGAAACTGAGCATTTAGATTTCCAGCCCCACTGCCTTTTTCCAGCCTGAACAACAGACGACACAAGCCGTGCCAGATAAAAACAGCATTGCCAACACCTCTGAGGAGACAGCACATTTAACAATTACTCTCTAAAATACCTCATAAAATTTTAACTAAGTCCAGCAGTTCTTCAGATCTACCGAGAAGAAAGACAGACTCTTACATCGCTAGCTCCAGAGTCTTGAGAGCTCAAGGGAGTAAAGTAATTTCAACCTTTAGGACACAGTGTGCAGCATGTCTCTCGGTGTTTACATTACTTTAAACTGTTTTTTGATGATGTTCATTAATTTACAAGAACACATTATAAAAATATAACCGCATAGATGTAAGAGTAGCATCAATCCCTCTAGATTAGCCAGGAGGGTCTCCTGGTTTCTCCTGGAGGAAAATAGACTTGTGTTGGGATAATATCTCAAAGCATCAGGCTGAGGTCTTCCTGTGAGCTTTCTGAAGCTCTTCTCAGAGAGTCTACTTCAAGGACACTGGTGTCCTGGAGTGACAGAAACTAAGAACCCTGAAAAACCAAGTAAGACTCTCTTCTGTAAACAGGGCTTGAAAAACAAGCAACTAAATCCAGGAAGACAGCGAGGGTTGAGACAAGAAGAGGGATAATTTGAAGAGAGGGACACAACCGGAAGGGAAAAGGAGGGGAGCCAAGAACTCCTATGAAGATTCTCTCCCGTGCTTGCTTCGGCAGCACATAGACTAAAATTGGAACAATACAGAGAAGATTAGCATGGCCCCAGCACAAGGATGTCATGCAAGTTCATGATGCATTCCATATTTTTTTAGAAAAAAAAAAGATTCTCTCCCTACAACAGGCCCCTCACCACACATGTATGCATACTCCCAAAACACACACAGAGAGAGAGAGAGAGAGAGAGAGAGAGAGAGAGAGAGAGAGAGAGAGAGAGAGAGAGAGAGAGAGAGAGAGAGAGAGCTACCCCGGGAACTATTCAGACTCTTGTCTCTCCAGAGCACACTATGCATTGACTTTCCATACTGATGGAGGATAGGGAAATCAGACCCATTGCAAAGAGCTGTCCTGAAAGCAAACACGGACCTCTTTAGTGAGAGGAAGGGGACAAGGGAAGAGTGGTCAAAGAGAAATGAGGTCTGATGTGAGCAAAGTCTAAGTGTACACACGTGTAAACATGTCATAATGAAACCGGCTGGTTTGTATACTAATCAAAAGCTTAATATATTTTAAAGATGCATTTATTTAATGTACTTTGCTTGCATGGGTATATGTGAACCACCTGTGTTCTCGGTGCCTAGGGAGATCAGAAGAGGGCATTGGATCCCCTGGAACTGGAGTTACAGATGGTTGTGAGCCACCATGTGGCTGCTGGAACGCTGGTCCTCTGCAAGAGCAGCAAGTGCTCTTAACCTCTGAGCCATTACTCCAACCCTGAATATAATTTTGAGAGGGGGGGGGTTCCTCACCAAAACAAAGTGTGGTAGAGGAGAAATTCCATTTAAACTAAGACTTGTGAGTACTTCATGTCTGTTGAAAACACAGTAAAGCCAGGGAATAGCAACAATCACACTATTTGAACTGGAAGGAAAAGAATGAAGGGGCAACATGAAGAGTAATAGCTAAAATGTCCAAGAATTTTCCTAATATACAAAAAGGAAGAATTACAATCAGGCCTGGTGTGGTAACTCCTGTGTATAGTCTGCACTGGAAAGCTGAGGAAGCGAATTGTCAAAACTAGAGGCCAGCCTGGGTTCTAGAATACGAGTCTGCCTCAAAACAAGAAAACAATTTCAAAATTAGACTCATGGACTCAAAACAACAAGCTCTCAAATGTCGTGATCTGGGTTTGTTGTCTAGGAGGGTTTCGGGGACTGGCAGCCTGAGGACTGTGGGGGAAGGGGAAAGAGCCAAGGCAGCCAATCAAGGAGCCTGGGATGCCTTCGTCAGCACTGTGAGTGAGATACAGGCAGCAGTCTGGCTGCTGGGGATGACAAAGAGTAGGGAAGGATGGATGATTGACAGTTCCTGAGTTAAGGAGGTGTTCTCCACACAAGCGCAGTTGTTTGATGGTTGGTTGCCTTTGAGGCAGACATTTCAAGCTCATTTTACTGAGGAGACTGAGGCACAGGGAGATAGAGAAAGCAGCCTGGTAGAGTAAGTAGCCAGAGAGCTGCAGCTGGAGGCTAGGGTGCTTGCTGTTCGGCCTCTCTACCTCATATTTGCACCTGGCTAACCAGAAACGGATGTACACAAAGGTAATGAAGTCTAAGCATCAGGCCACTCCTTTGCTAGAGATTCTGACCCTATTTTATTATTGGTAATTTTTTTATTATTAATCTTTTAAATGACTTCATTTGCATGAGCTTCGGGCCTCGTAAAAACTTGCTTCATACCAGAAGCCAATTAAAATCTATTACAGGGCATCCTAGACAATGGTGAGTCTCTCCTCTTCTCTCTCTCCCTCTCTCTCTCTCTCTCTCTCTCTCTCTCTCTCTCTCTCTCTCTCTCTCTCTATCTCTCCCTCACCTCCTTCCTTCATATCCTTGAAGTGCTGGGATTACAGTTGTGTGCCACTATGCCTGCTTGGTCAAAAGGACTTCTGTAAAATATGAAAAACTAACCCACACGTTCTTTTTTTTCCTTTTTTCTGACTTTTACTGTTTTCCCTCATATATATATGCCAAATGATTTGATGCCATTTTCTATATTTTATGAATATCCTGTGCTTTTCCTGAGTCTTTTTTGAAAATTTTTTTGAAGTAATCACTTGCAGGGCCGAAGAAAACCAACAATATAGGTACTTCTCATTTTTCGAGGAGCAGATTACTCTGTGAGAGTCGAAATGCTTTTTGAAGAATCATACTCCATGTTTTTACACTAAACCTTCTGATTTTGTCTTGTCTTGTCTTGGGTTATACATATGCTTTTCCAGACATGCTTTCTCTATGTAGCCCTGGCTGTCCTGAAATTCTCTGTAGACCAGGCTGGCCTTGAACTCACAAAAATCCACCTGCCTCTGCCTGCTGAGTGCTGGGATAAAGGTGTGCACCACCATACCAGGCAGTCCTTCCTGGAAGATGGAACAGAGGGCATACTCTTCCCCTTGCCTAAGATCTGTGATTTCTGCTCCGTTAATACAATGATGAGTAAAATCCTTGGGGCTACCTAAACCTATTTAGGTAGCATCTGTACAGGGCCATGGGGTCTGTCAGGCACCGTTTGGCTTGCAGGAAACACACCTGGGGATCATTAGACACACTCAAAGACTTGTGTACATTTGGAACAGCTATAAATAGAGCAATTCTAAATGTTCACAGTAAGGAAGTGACAACAGAAATTGGAGTCACCATCTCTGTGGGGTTAGTGCTCTGGGCTATTAACCAAAAGGTTGGTGGTTTGAGCCCACCCAGGGATGACCTGAGTTTTTGAGGGTCACTTTCTGGGGCTGGAGAGATAACTGTCTTCCTGCAGTCCTGAGTTCACAATCATATGTAATGAGATCTGGTGCCTGCTTCTGGTGTGCAAGCATACGTGCCGGCAGAATACTGTATACAGAAATTGGCAAGTGGCCAGACATGGTGCTGCTCACCTTTACTCCCAGCAGAGGCAGAGAGGCAGAGAGACAGAGGGGAAGAAGCCGGCAGCAGGAGGATATCCAAGTTCAAGAAGAGCCTGGTCTACAGAATAAGTTCCAGGATAGCCAGGAGTACACAAACCCTCTCTCTCTCTCTCTCTCTCTCAAAAAAAAGAACTATTTATTTTGATAGTAAATGAGAAAGAAATCTGACCGTCACTAAATATGGTGCCACCCCAGTCATCTACTGGGACTATGTATGGGGAACGCAAATATAGACACAGAGAAGAGAGTGTTTTTCTGGCATCTAAAGCTGGTTCTTCATATCTGTTCCCTCCCTTTCTGGGGCACAAAGCTGAAATGTATCACAGTAAAAGAGAAAGTAGATTTAGGTCGAGGGGACGATCGTGACCCGTAACACAAACCCCATTACTGACTTCATGTGGGTTTTGCACGCTGAGTGAATAGAGTTTGTTTTGTTGATGCTGTTGTTGAAAGAAGGTCCCGTGAAGCCTAGGCTGGCCTCAGACTCACTGTGTAATCAAAACTGATTTTGAATTCCTGATCCTCCTGCTGCCTCCATTCACACTGTGATTACAGTGATTACAGGTATGCACCGCCAAGCCCGGCCTCTCTCTCTCTCTCTCTCTCTCTCTCTCTCTCTCTCTCTCTCTCTCTCTCTCACACACACACACACACACACACACACACCTAGTTTCTATTTTAGACAAAACCCATGACATTTCCCCCCTGAAAACCTTTAATTAGGCAGCTGTGTGGTAGTCAAGACCTATCAGTTGACTTGTCTTTTCTGTGACATTATGATCGGTGACATTCTTCAACGTAAGGTAGATTTCTATTTTTAAAAAGAGGGACAGAAAAATGCCAAAGGTAGAGACCACAAAATGGGATGCATGTCTGCAGGCCTCTTTCCAGCAGGTGGTATGACCACTCAAAGGAGTTCCATCTGATCTCACTGTCATCCCCCGCAGGCCCTGGCATTCTGAGATGGCAAAGGCGAACATCCACCTTCCAGGGACTAAAAGACTTCTGCTCTCAGAAAGTTATCAAGTGTAGCCAACACCCGCAGCGAAAACCCCAAGCCATTGGGGGTCCATTGCCTTAATAGGTTTATTGACCAGACCTTTATCTGCAATAAACTATAGAAAATTCTAGGCTCTTAAGATAATAGTAACACTAATGGTCTGATGATGACCATAGCAAATCTAAACGGCATCCTAAACTTGTAAGCCTTCCTGGGGATGAGTAGTCCAAGCCTCGTGGGAAAAAAGTAGGTTTCTAGAGGAGGCTGAGTCCTAAGTCTCCATCACCCACTCTAGATGGAGGAACTCACTCTTGAGGTGACCATGCAGATCAGCATGTTATCTACACATGTTAGATAAAAACACAAGATGCACGGTGCTAGAAAAGCAAATAAACAGACTGAAAAAAAAAATGATGTGTATTTTTCAACCTGGCCTATGACAGACTGACAGGTCAAAGAGGACGGTACATATGTTGAGCGGCCAGGACACACAGGGTAGCTCAGCGAACAGACTGGGTTAAGTCAGGGTATCGGCTTCTAGTTCTTGGTGTTGAATAGATTTTTAATTGACTCTTCATCGCAGAACTGGGTTGGTGGGAAGTCTTGGGGAAGAAAGGATTTTCTTTTTCTGCTTTTTTTTTTTCCTTTCAGATTATTTGATGTGTGAAGGTTTCTGAACACACTAACCATCTCAATGATTAGGCTGGTCCTTGCTCTGTCTTCAAAGGTTCAGGGCACATCCCTCAGATGTGACAGATGATAAGAGGGTCTGTGTTTGTCCCTTCATTTGGAAGACAAGGGGAGAAGATGGGTCTGAGAGCTTCATGGAAAGAGGTCGATGGGAAGCTGTAAATGAGGGACTCATCCGTCACGTTGTAGAATGCTATATGTCCGGACTCATAGTCCAAGAACACACCGACCTTATGCACAGGCTCTCGGACATGCTGACCTTTCAAAGGCGATGAAACCCAGAGACTGTAATCATCACCGATTTTTAAGCCTATGAGTGAGAAGAGGTCCCCAGGGGGTTTAGGGAGGTTCCCCTTTCTGATCACAGAGTCCTTGCAGATGCCCACTTCCCACTCAGTCTTCTTCCCCACTTCCACCTCCCAGTAGTGCCTCCCACAGGTGAAGATCTGAGCTCCCAACACAGTGGCAGACTGATCAAATCTTTCTGGGTTGTCAGGCA